GCCACGAGAACGTAAAGAAGACATTCTTAGTTTTATCAACAACTTATCTCTAAGCAAAACTCTCACCAATCAATCTTTGGGTTTTGAATTTGACTTTAAAATGTTGGCATGACTTCAAAATTTGAGTTTAATTTCCTTAAAAAGCCAGCCCATCGAATTTGTGTACATAACACCTGGATTATTAAACAACTTTTCCGATGCTAAACACATATTGGCTGCATTCAGTTATAATTAACGCTTGTGCTGTGGTTTTGGGTAAATTGTTGCTTTTAAAATTTTTCTTAGTAATTCTTGCTTTTATTATGATTTTAAATACTTTCAGGTGAGAAACGTGTTATGTATGAAAAGCAATTTCTTAGTGATATAGCCAACCCAAATTATTCCGAATACGAGTCGTTCAAATCGAATCTATCATTAGATGGAAAGTTTTTTACTTTAACTAAAAGGCAATCGGAAAAGTTCTTAAAAGTAGCCGCTGGCGCATTCGCAAAAGATTTCCGTGAACCATTTCTAGCGAAGTCTCGGCAAGTAAACACAGCAATATTTTCTAAAAAATGCAAAGGTATATTTATTCATATATTTCACTCCATCAAATTAAATATTGTTATCTTTATGATCTGCAGATTCTTTGGTTTCCATAACTCATACCGTACCCCTTTTGGTAATGTGGGCGTTGATCTTTATCTCTCCGATTTAACAGAGGACGTTTTAAGTTATCAACAGCAACAGAATCATCAATGAAAAAGTTTACGCTTTCCTCTTGGAAACGAACGGTAATATTTTAGTTCATCATGTCTTAGCACAACTCTATACGCAAAATTAAGCACCATTTCCAGTCGACATTGGATATTTAGAAAATTCCACCGATTTTTTCAAAATCAGACAACGTCTATTGCAAGTAGAAAGCGGCCTCAGTGCATTTATAGCCCTGTCTTACAAATGCCAGCTTCTTTGCCGTTAACTTTGGAACAATTTAACAAACATGCAAATTTACCTTCATATTCAATGCCAAGAAATGATCTTGAGGACCCGCAATGAACTTAATGTATCATCGTTTAGATTTATTACTTTCACGAGGATCTGTTACCCTTTGCAGGTATTTTCGACAATTAGCTACCATGGGTAAGAAAACGACAATTTGCAATATGTTTACATTTTCTTTTCACTTCCAGATGGCGCAAACTGATTCCTAAGCTCCATCGCTTTTGAGTCGCCTTTCACTTTTCTCTACAACAATCGCATGAGTTCTGTTCAAAATCAAATGCGTACGACTTCGTGTGCAATTGCTTATTGGATTCTTGGACAGGATTTGATTGAAAGATAAAAGTCTTGGATATTGGTAGTTGCTTTAATCCATTTGCTTAAGTACCATATTTTGAAGTGACAGCTGTTGACTTGTGTCCAGCTACTGATGATGTTCTATAAACCGATTTTCTAAATGTTCAAATCAAGTCCATGGAAAATCCTAAAGTTGGGTTGGATAATAATACACTGACCTATTTACCGACTGTATATTACGAATGTGTTGTGTTCAGCTTATTGCTCGAATATATGCCAAGTTCGGAGCAGCGCATCAATTGCTGCAGCAAGGCTTATGAACTCTTAAGACCAGAGGGCATCTTAATTATTATAACGTCTGACAGTGACCACGTTGGGAGAAACGCCGCTCTAATGAAGAACTGGCGTTACACCTTAAATTGTTTGGGTTTTATGCGTATACGTTTTGAAAAATTACCACATATTACATACTTGGTTTACCGCGCATCTGAAAGATGGTCCATTTTGCATAAGGAATCTAATGTGACTTTCAGTTTAAAAATAGAACAGGATAATAAATCTAAGACACTTGCTGTTCCATCCTGAAAAAAACGGAAAAGTGCATACTCTCCAGAAAAATGGAAGACTATCCTCGCGTGGATTTGTAAATTGATGAAGGCGTTATGGATATACCTCAATTATTTATTTCAATTTAAAATGAAGGTCGGACACCATAGAAACACTTAAAAACCAATACGCTGGGGCAAATGCATTATCTTCTAAACTTGACTGAGACGGTATTGCATGAGGTGTTAAGAGACAGCAGCACTAATAAAGCAGCAATAAAAATGTCTTCACTTTTTTAACAAATTCTTAAGTGAAACATAGGAAGTAATAAATTATTTTATAAGAAAATTGAGTTTTGGAATTTTTGATTTTTGGATTTTTGGGCGTAGAATACAAAAAGTAAAGGGCTTCACAATCTTTGGAACTGGAAAAGTGAGAATGGCGAGTATTCATAATTTTCTTACTTCTATTTAGAACGTTATCATCGATATTCGAATTCCTTATTTTCTGTTCTGAACTGTTTCGTCTTCTATAAATTTTATTCTTATATGGGATTTTTTTTTTATAAAATTACCGACGGATCGTAAATTGCAGCAACATTTAAAAAATTATCATGATCCACAAAAACTATTTATATGTGATAAGTGCGGTAAAATTTTTAAAAAGTTACAATATAAAAAAACATAATGACATGGAGCATACTGAAAGTAAATTAACGCCGGAACCGCAACAATGCAAGCTTTGTGCTGCATGGTATCGTCATTTGGCTGGTTTGAAAACGCACATGAAAAACATCCATGAGAATACAAGCGATGAACATCATTGTCATATATGCAGTAAAGTATCGACTACCGAGAGAGCTCTAAAGCGTCATATATACTTGAATCATAACTGTGTCCGCTTTTAAGCGTGGCCAAGATTTAAGGGTTAGTTTTACTTTAATTTTTTCTGTCTTTTTCTATAAGAGTTGTTTTCTTTTATAGGAACATATTTCAGCACATACGGGTGAGGCGTTGTACACTTGCCCCGATTGTCCATTGACTTTTGCGTCCAGTGCCGATATGTATAAACATCGGCAACGTTTACACAAAACTGAATATGAAGCAGATCGTTAACAAGCCATTCCGCCGAATATCATAAAACAAGCAAAGACTGGTACAAGCAAAGTTCGTTCTTTTGGTGTATCTAATGCTCTTGCAAATCCGCAGATAGTAATAAATTAGTTTTTACTATGGCACACATTGAAAAGTTATAGTATACATTAAATCCCGTGAGACTAAAACGAAATTTCAAATTATATATTGTAGACGTGAAAGGGAATTACTGAAAGATAAAGCGGGGGGTAAATACGAACGTAAAAGTTCAGCACCTATACCAAATTTCTTTAAACTAAGTTTCTCGACTTCTCCTTCTTCGCCGACACAACATAATAACAGAAACTTAAAGGCAGGGGGCGGCAAAGGCAAGAAGTTACTTGGATCTCCCTTGCTACATAGTATTATGTTCGGCCATCATCATGATGACAGTAATAAATTTGAAACCCTTCATTTAATTGTATGAAAAAAACAGTAACTTGCTTACATATAATTTTTGCTTAAATAAAATTGAAATAGCAAGATTTTGTTTGTATAATAAAAAAACGAGTATAATTTCTTTTTGTGCCATTTTTACCAAAAGATTTCAGATTAGTTCATCCTTTGTAGCACGCATTAAAATATTGTATACCATTTATTTATTGAAATGCTTTTGGGCATATGTGCCCATAGCCTGCCGCCAATAATAGAGCTCCTGATTGTGTTTACTTATCGTCGTATTCGGGGTCTTGTATTAAAGGCATGATAAAACTCTACGACCGATTCCGATTTACCTATAAATGTGAGAATAAGCATGAGCGTATATGTTTGTTTACTTTTTTCAATAATGCCTTTAGAGAAAATAGCGTATATGTTCTCAGTATTTTAAACATTTTGTTAATGTTTCCTGATTAGTTTTATTCAATTTTTAGAGACCTGGCGTTCGATTTTCGCATATTTTTGGACATTTTGTGTTAATTGTTCGCATATATTCGTACAAGTGTTTTTATATAATATATAATTTTATATATATAAATGTATAAAAAACAGCATTTATCTCCCCTGGAACGTCTCCTGACTAGTTTTATTCAATTGGTGAAGAAGCAGCGCAATGAATAACAATAATAAAATACAATAGGTATGTTTTAATAATTTATTAAAATTTATATTAATATTTTTCTTTCTTTTCGGACGAACTTGTAGCAAAAACCAATATGTCATTAGGTAAGCTTTTCTTATTTACTATAATTTCAAATAATATATGCTTATTTTTTACAGACGAAATCATAAATTTAAAAACCAAACAGAAGAAGTCTTCCAGAGGTAGAAAAACAAAGAAAAGGATGAGTTAGGTAACCAAAAACATGAAGGTGACGATGATAAGATGAGTAACTTGTTGATATTTTTATTCTCAACGTGTTGTTGGTGTAATGTGAAGAAATAACGCAGGTGTGCAATAGATTTACATTATAAAGAAAATTTGTGCAGAAGTTAGAAATGGAAACTGAAAGTTTCATTTACTGTAAGCAAACATTGAAGTTCGTCTATAATAACTTAACAAACACATACTCAATCATTCACTCACTAGTTTTTTCACTCATTCATTTATTCATTTCTCCCTATGTTCAATATTTTCTCATTATTCACTCCCCCACTCATTCACACATTTACTCATTTGTTCATTCTTTTATTTATTCGCATTCATTATATTAAATAAAAAAAAGAAAAGTAGTTCCAATGAGACACAAAAATATATGAAAATATTGCAACTCACCAATGGATCCTGAAGAAGTCTTCTCCCCCAATCTGCTGTTGTGGACAAACTCTTACTATAAAGCACATTCTCTGCGACTGCCTCAACTTTTCCTTGGCTAGAAGTATTGCATTTGGAACGATTAAGCCTTTGTAGATTCTACAATCAACTTCAGAACAGAATATCAATTCAATATTTTACTTTATTAATACTACTAAGCTTATTATCTAATATCCATTTTTTTAAATTAGAGCCGATAGCCTGTGTTGCTAGTGCTCAATGTCTCTTTTTTAGTCTAAGAATTCAATTCATTAGTCTAAAATTAAAATAATAATAATAATAATAATAATATGAAAAGTATTTCATTTGTCGATAATTCAATTTTTCAAATTATCCCATAATATCACAAGTTTTCTACTAAACTCAGTGAAAAGCTTTGAAAAGTCAATGTCCCGCTGCCTGCAGTCGGGCCATTAGAAAGTTTTAGGACTGCGTCTGCAGCACAACCAATAATACCTGCAGATTTTGCATGACAATAACGATTGCAAAGCCAACAAGTAATGAACCGCTTAGGATCGGGACCTGCTTCTGTGCGACAAGACGTAAACAAACACCGAATATCAGAAAGTAAGAGGCAAAATAGAGTTTGTGAAGATATAAAGAACAAAAAATTTTGCAAAAATGTCTCTTAAATTAGAACGCAAATTTTGCACAATTGAAAACACGGCAAACAAACTATAAACGCCGCAAAGCAAGGTAGATGTGGCTAGAACACGGCAAAAACAAGAAGGACATTTGTTGACGAAAGCCTTAATTGCTGATCGCAAAAACCAAAAACATATCAACGCAAAACTTCAGTGTATTTTAATAATTTCGGACTCTTTTATAATTAAGTAAGCAATAAAGCCGTCTAAAGCAGTAAAATAAAAAAAGAGTTACAAAATTTTTATTTATACACAACTAAAAAAAAGGGTTCAGATCGCGCCCGCAGAGTTACCAAACTGCGGCTCTAAAAGCGAAATTACAGTCATTCTATTTGTACATTAGGTGCTTCTATATTCTCCCTTCGTCAGATCTCATAACTTATACGAGTCATGAAGTCCAGGGATTCAATCTTATTACTGACTGATTTCAACGTACCTGATGTTAGAAGGTTTTTAATTAGGATCTTAGTTATTTTATACCGTCGTCGATGCCGTTAGCATACAATGACTCTGTTGAACCCATGAATTCGGCCTTATGCAATGTAACTACATTTATAATGTGAAGGTGCGTGTCATTGTTCCAAACGATACAAATATGCCCGGGAAAATCCATTCGTTTTACTGCAGGATGACTATCACTCTATGTTGTTGCTAAGAATAATCGAGTGATACGCATTGCAAGGCTTTTAAAAAGACCTCTTCTATGTTCAGCAAAATCAATTTTCAAAAACTGAGAGAGTTTTTCTTTCCTTCGACAGTTGTCGATAGTACCAGGGGTCGTCTGCTTGCCCGACATCAGTGTAGTCAGTTACCCACGAGGTCCAGTACACAGCCAGTAGGTTGTCGAAAAGCCAAGGATAGCGCAGTGTGATGAGCACCTGACATATGTTGGGTTAATTACTTCTTCTAATGCAATAAATCCAAGGGGGAGAGTGGTAGGGGTTGCTTACCCGGAAGTACAGAAAATCCAAAATGTAAGTATGAAGCTATGATCATAACGACACCATAATTCCAAAGCATGCTAAGAACTATGGAATCCACGGGGGCCAGGTGGGTCACTCGCAAAGTTAGCAATACCCTGCTTAGGCGGTTAAAGGTGACAGCATTGGTTGATGCATGCAAAGGTTCTCCGGGGGAACGCTTGCATATTGGCATGTCTTTTACAAATTTAATTGGAAGCTGGTATATCCAATCACATTTTGAAAACAGCAGGGTAACCATTGTGTGAGGGTTGATGTTATCTCAAAATGCGCAGGAATTAAATAATTAGAGGTCCTTGGTAGACCTCATCTTGCCCAGAAGAGAAGGGTTGGTACATATCTAAATTTACAATGTGGTACTTGGCATAGGCCCGATCTTCTGTAGAATTGTCTTGCAAGGCTGAGGGTTGTCCAATTTGACTATATTAACTGCCAATGGTTCTAGGGAACTCGTCTGATTAAGGCTCTATGTCAGATGCAGGCAACTTCACATATATTATGAAGTTGTTTGGAATCTCGATTAGAAAGATATTGATGCGTCAGTATCTTTTATGCACTGCAATCTGTGCCATGCGATTTGCAAAGCTGTTCCGATTGTATGCACTCCGCCAACTTGAAAGTGTCCGTTCTGCTTTAACAAGCAGTTGAGATCGCTGCGAAAGAGAAGAAGTGAATTCAATGAATTCAAGGGTAGTGGCTTAGTCATTGACCACCTAGTATATTCTAAAGCTAGGCGGGAATGTGGTACCCTCAACAAGACATGTTACGCTAAAATATACGTTCTACGGGTTCTTAATTAATTGGGGACGTTAAGAGATATTGTAAATTTTAAACATGAAGCGAAAGGTGGGGGTGCCCCATTTGTTACGCTATAAGGCGATAAGAAAGCCTCGAAAGGAGCGCAATTTCACACTATTTTTAAAGATCGTACTCGTTCTTAAATTGGTAGACAGAAATTCTTTCATATGTCATCAGAGAACTTGATATTTGACCGGCTGGTATTCGCCCTAGGTACCAACGATGTGCTGACCTCTTCTGTGTGCCATAACAGGTATATTTAATAATAGCTTGAGGAAAGGCTACTTTTCTTTCTCATGGAAGTTTAATTATAAGAGTCTCTCAGGGAATATTATCGGGAATGATAGAGCAATTGTCTAGTTTGGTGCATAGCCAAAGTTGTTGGAAGCTTTCGTTACTAAGCAACTTATATTGGCGGTTGCGTCGATAATTTCTCCGTGCCAAGTTGTTAGTACTTACTGGTGATGCCTTCAAAAGATTCGAGGAGTACAAAAAGATTGGCATAATTTACACTGATTTTTCAAAATCAGTTGACAAAGTGGAATATAATTTATTGATTTTTAATTTAAAATATCTTGGCTTCGCTGATAACTTGGTTTTATGTTTACGGTCTTATCTAACGGGTCGTTCTCAAAGGGTTCTTCTTAATTTTTTCTCGCTCAACTCCTGAGTTATCTGGCGTCCCACACGTAAGTTATCTTCGTTTGTCTCTATTACTAAACAATTTCCCTCGTTGTATTCACAAGTCTAGAGTTCTAATTTTTCCAGATGACTTAAATATTTACCATTCTTTCAATGCGGTAATTCCCTCCAGATCGATCTGAATAATTTGGTCCCCTGGTCAGATATCGACGGCAAACCGTTGTATTTAAAGTAATGTTAAAAATGATGATTTTCGCGGGTAAGCTTGCTGTCTGTTTCGTATGTAAATAATTACATAATAGAGAGTGGATTATGAATTAGTAATAATCATTGAATCCCAAGGTCGGGTAGCTTTTATGGGTTTCCTTAACAAAATGGTCTAAAGAGTTTGATAAATCGTGTACTGCGAACAGTTTACATACGTGCTTCGTTAAGCTAGTCCTACAATACTCAATACTTGTGTGAGAAAATAGGTTAAAGCTTATTAATTTACCGTCACTTCGGAAAACAAGGAATATGTTGGGCATTTTATTTATGGTTAAATTAATGAAGGGGTTGTTTCCACCTAAGGATTATTGGACCACGTTTCTTTCAATATCTCATCTAGGATTCTTAGGCAGTATGTCTCTTTGCATCTCGAACACTATCGAAACTAATTATCTTTTGTTTAATCCATTTCACGTCTTATATGTAATTTTAAACGAAAATTACAAGAATTTGGACATATTATTTTGTTCCTACAATGCAGTAAAAAAAAAACATGTGGAGGCGATGGGCGAAACTTTAAGGTAATACTATTTACCATATGTTTGCTGCTTGATGTTCTGAAAGATATTCTTTGATATATAATGTCGTAGCTTTAACACTTAGACTTAACTTTACCTTGTCAATAGTTTAAGTTAAAAATATTCTAAGCAACAATTTGTCTACCTTCAAACTATAAACTGTTAACTTTGTTGTGCTTTGTTGGTTTTCTCTAGAATTGTGTAAAATTTAAGTCCTTAAGTCTTAAGGGTGTTGCCTAATATGACTAAATATATAATTGTAGCTAGAAAGGAACAAATAAATAACTATAGAGAAAGATGTTCGTCGCTTATCCCAGTTGACTTCTTACCACAATTTGGTAAGCGTTTTATGAACGACGACAGAATATTCGGTTAACCCTGTTGTGTATTCACAACCCATCAGCCTATGTGTATTTTCTATTGAGCAGCAATATTGCGCGAATTACCTATACTAGCAAGAAAGGTAATCAAAGTAAAAGCTTTCTTCTAAAATTAAAGACTCAGATAACTGCTTGCCACCGTGAAGTCCGTGACCGAATGCGTGGTTTCCGGCTAATTCTCGTCGGCAATAGTCCGACGTATCGATACTCGAATGTGTTTGTTCTTTCAATTACTTTAAAGTCGTGCGTGCTCCTGTAAGCACGATTTATTTTGCACAATGACTTAAATAACTTTTACAGAATTGGTTAAATCATTGTTTGTATATTTGATTTACATATAGTGAGTATTCTATAACCGAATGAATTTTGACCAGCCTATCTACTCGCTTCCTTTGTCAAAGTCGGGATTATATTTATAAAATTTCGTTGCGACAATCAACCAATTCGTTCGAAAATTTTTTCATATTACCCTTGTCACGCGTACACCAGTAATTGTATGTATGCTTCTTAGAGTTTGCGAAGTAGAGCGTTCTTAGTAAATAGGAGGTCCGTCTTACGTTCAAAAATCAACCAACCGTCTCGAAAAATGGAAAACTATATTAAAACAAGTAAGAGAATATGAGTTACCATTATGTTTTCGCTTTCTTTCTAATCTCGAAATTCTTTGATTTGATACCCATATAACAAGTATTATTAAGAAAACGTTAATCACAATGTCTATCATATTCAGTTTAGTCTAACCCATTTTTAGACAGATGATATATCTTTCTTCATAATTTCATTTATAATTTCTTTTCACATCTTAAGTTTCACCTACGGCTTCTTTCCGCAAATTAAGTTCTACCTCCGAGTTCTTCTTCGTTAAGGGAGGAAGAGACAAGTAAGAAAGTTATATTCAGCGCGGGCCGAATCTCACACACCCAAAATCGTGCTTTCGCATTCTACTCTCCATGCTGTTTTATTTGATACCCATCTCGCTGATATTATTAAGAAAAAATTAACCCACTAGTGCCATGGTGACCGCCTATTGATTTTAGGACAAACGCGCTTCTCGGCAGATTCATTCATCATTACGTCTTTACTTTATGCATAATTCGTGGAATCTCACTCATCTCCGATTATAATCGACATAATGTAGCTGAATTGTGGCAAAGCGGCAATGAATGTTTCTAAAAAGGGGGCATGAAAAAATTGATAGAAGCATCAAAAAAAATTCATTAAAAAAATTTGTAGAAGACATTTATAGAATATGGAAAACCTTATTAAAGCAAAACAAATAAAATGAGAATCTTTTTTTTTACCTCATGTTAAAACAAATTTCGTATAAAAAGAAAATTAGATGTATATATACTTTTGTGCTCACGTTCCTGTGAGTAGAAAATGTTGATACAAACAGATTGCCTGAGGTATAAGAATCACGGACAATGGTGGCAAAGACGAAGGTATCGGTTAATTATGGGATTAATTGGACACGGCTCTAGTAGACAAAAATGTACGATGAGTCCAATGTAGCATACCTACTTATTATCTCTCCGGCAATACCATTTTAACGGCTAATTCAATTTAACATATTAAGAATCAATTAGCATTAAAAAAAAAATTGAAAGAAAAAGGAATAGAAAGTACTATTAAACTATTAGCGAAGTAAAGCGTTTTTATCTATATTTGTTTGCGATTATTATTTGAAGATAATGTTTACTATAATTATACATATTCATAATATAAAGAATCTAAAATAATTGAATATATAAATTTACTCATTCGACGAAATTAAATTCTCACGATGAATGCGTATTCTTGACAAAAATTAATTTGGGGGAAAAAATAACAAATTTTGAATACTAATTTTATGTAGCAAACAATTAAATAAATCGGGTTTTTTTACTGTCGCCTCCTTCTTTGTTTTTTATTTAAGTTGTATTTGCCTATATCATATCACTTTAGGAGCTCATTTTTTTCTTTATTAAGTTTTTATTTGGTTTTTCTTTTTTTTCCTCCCAATAAACGAATGTTTTCTCTACTTTTCTTTTATGTTCAAATATGGGAAGCTTCGCAGTTTTTTTCCATACAACGCAAATTGACATAATCAAACTTCTTTTCTCTGAAACACCTTTATCTTTTCTTGATTTTTTTTTCCTGAGGACGTTTAATAATCTTTAATTTTAACACGTTTTCTCTATTCCAAGTCAACAAAGCAATCAATTAATTTTGTATTTTAGAAGTCTCTTTCTTTCCAAAAAAAAATGAAGCAATTAATTATTAATTTTAACACGGCTTATTTCAATAATATTATCCTTTTAAAGTTCGATATTATATATTTTCTTTTTGGATCCACTCAGCCAAAGGAGAAAAGCCATACCATTTCATTTCGATTCGAAATTTGTAATTTTTTTTTATTTTTTTACCTTCAAAAAAAAAATTTTTTTTCCTCTGTAACAACTTGGTAAAATAAATTCAAAGTACACTTTTTACGATAGACTACTACTCATACCATGACCCAGTCTGGAAAACGTCGATTTATACTTGGTATCTCATTCTTGATCAATGGAGCTATTGGCTCAGAAGCTCTTTTGAATGTAATTTACATTAATGGTCCCGCGCGATTACCTAGAAGTTATCAGTTGTTAAATCTTAGTCAGTGTAAAAACAAACAAATTAATAACCCCGCCTCCGGTTCTTAGCACCAATTTAAACTTAACTGTTCATAACCTGATATTTATGATTAGTATAGAATCAACTCTGCTAAGGCTTCGTTCATTACCGATAACGGACCTTGATGATAATGACATATAAATGGGTGAGTGATCTATTGGTGAGCTTGGTGTTAATAAAGTCTCAAAACTCGGTGTAAAGAGTCAGGATGGTGCTTAAGTTTTCTTTAAATACATTTTTTAGAAACATTCGTTTAAAGATGTAGATTTAAATACTTTGGGTTAAGTTTTGTGGTGTTAGAATGTTGCATTATTATTGTCTGTTTAATTGTTAATTAGCCTAACAGTTTTATTTTAATGCAACTATAATACGGAATTTGTGAGATAAAATCAATGACCTTCAAAATTAAACTTATTCAGATTCAACTTAGACATCAGAAAGAAAGGACACATCTAAATCAATAAGCATATACTTAGCAGCAAAATCATAAAGCATTATAAATCTATCTGTCGGAAATGGCTCTACCCGAAAAGTTTTCCACTAAAGGTGCATTTATTAGGTGTTCTTGTTGTGCAGTTGCTTGTATTAAAAGTTTTTGCTATCTCTTTCTCTCCCTACTTTTTTAACAGTTTAATAAACATTGACCACAAATCTTCGTCTTTATTTTTAATAAAAA